AACACGTTCGCGAACGGAAGTCAGATTTTTTGGCGCAGATTGCCGAGTAAAAATTACTTCTGTTCATCAAAGGTGAGCTCAGATCACCAGAGGCGATGGCATATTTTTATTGAACAATTCCATATTAACCTTACCCACAGAGAAAATATTGAACTGTGAGGCTACTGCTCAGCTGATGAAGTAATCAGCTGAAAGTGAAATCATAAGCGATAGCGATACTGTGGGGTCCAGACAGTTCGAATGTTTAGCAAATTCCCAGATAAAGCATAGTATGAGCCATTGATGTATTGTCTTATATTGGGTTGTCCTATAATTTCTGGCCGAATTTCAATACTTTGATTTTTTCAAGTTTTATCTTTCCTAAAAAAATTGATCAAAAATATAACCACCATCATAATCACTGATATGCATCCATTTGCTAGGGAACGAATGGATGCATTCCTCCCAGAACGAGTGAAGCTGTGAGATGAAAAGCTCGGAGAGGTCGTTTTTGGGGTGGTTGTATTTACTGACTTTTTTCTCTCCTAGCTGCTGCTTCAGGGAGCTGAGGAGGTGATAGTACGATGGAGCAATGTCAGGGCTATACGACAGATGTGGTGTCGTGGTCCAGCCAGTTTCCCTCGAAACGTGGCGAGTTATCTTTGCAATGTGATTTCGGGCGGTCCAAGGAGAACGTTTCGAACCGTTCTCCCGCACTGCTGCGGTTAACTTCGGGAGCTATTCCATGGTTTCCTTTGCAATGCTTGTCTGCATAAAGTGAAATGGTTTTCAAAGGGGATACCCAGCGAATCCAACGAACCGGGGTAATACCCCCGATGAGAGAGCTCGGACTTTAGTCGACATTGTGTGGCCAGGCAGCGAGGTACCCACCACGAGAGCCGCGTGTTGTCAAGACTCAGCTACACTGGTGACCAACTAGGGAATGTCTCGTCTGTAGCCTCTTCCGTTAAGGTGTCGACTCATGAGCGTAGGCTGCGTCCAGATGTTTGCTACAGTTTCCTGCTAGCGTCCGGATGCACTTCCTATTCGTTAGCGCAAGGGTCCTCATCGAAAGTGACTGGAGGTCCATGATGAGGTCGAACTTTGCAGCTCCTATCGTCTTTGCCGATGCTATTGAGCCAATAGCTCAGTGCCCGATCAGTAGCAAAGACTGGGGCAAACGTAGCGCTGATCTTGCCTACCGCGCTCCTTGCAAGGTTCTTCTTAAAATGTCGTAAGGCATAATCGTTGGGTTTGGTTGTTGATCTATTTTGATTCCTATTTTTCTTCAACTACCAACTTATTTCGTATGAATCTAATTGCATGCCGATGAAAATAAATTTGAACAACACGGCCAGTATTATCTGACACACCCCAAATTTATACTGCGCCTTGCTGTATATTAACATTCCTTTCTAATTTCTGATGATCTTTATACTAATAGCTAGCACCACACATCAAACTGACTGAGTGACGGTCGTGCTGAGAAAAAACTAAAACGCTACATTTGAATGCAGAGAGTATCACAAATCTCATCATCATGAGAACAAGCCCTTTTTTGGCTCTGTTGGGGGGTGGGGGGAGGATGGGGGAGGTCTTGTTGTTTAGTAACCCGTCAGGGTCTAACGCAGTCACGCAAACAAGCGTCCTTTGGCTGCAATAGCGCCACGTTATCCATTCGCATACGTCTGAGCTAGCTCATCATCCCCCACGAAGCATGTGCAATTCTGCCTGCCTACGGTATTTGTGTAGCCACGCCTTTACCTTTGTCTTTTTGCGAAGTTATTGCGTTCTTTTTTCACTTTCTGTGCTTGTAGTACTTAGAGTAGCCCACACACGTCTAGCTGGACAGAGCGTTCAATTAAACTGGTGGTGCATCTACGAGAGATAAAGACCAAGCAGTCCTGTGCGTGATTGTTCTGTTGCCAGGACTGCTTACGTAGTCTGGTACCCAGTAACGATGTTCTCGTACAATTAAAATCCGAACCCGGAAGGAATGGACATCGCTTGGTTGCCCGCAGCGATCTCACGACCCAGCATTTTACGATCCCCCGAGACTCTCGCGTGTAGAGTCAAAAGCGCCCACTTGTCACTGCACCAGCTTCCACCCAATCATCGCCCAAGGACTGCTATCGGCTAATAATATGATATCTTTTCCTACTCATTGGGAAAAACTATTGCGCCCAGCCACCCTCTCCTCAACATGTAACATTTGCCCTAAATGTTTAGAAAGAACTGCCCAAGAACCTCGAACCCAATAAAAGAGCAGTGATTCTTGAGAAAGACAGAGAATGGTGTCCCAGAACTCTGTATCTCTGGAACGCCAATCGTCTATCTTCTTAACGATGAGAGACTACGCTCATCGACTAGGAAGTTTTCGGCGAACCCATCGCTCGCCCTTGCGGATCGTAGCAGTTGGTCTTGAAGGCCTTTTATGAGGCAAATACCAGCGCAACTGATAGTGGTCGTGACTCAAATGGCGCTCGTGGATCGATCCCGTTCAAGTGTTTTCCATCTTGCCTTTACGGTAATACGGCTCTATTTAGCTGAAGTCCTCGAAGAAGGCAAAGCAGTGAACACGATAAGGGACTAATCCTAGAACATATTCACTACCATCCGAGTCCCTACCATCACCGTTGCGCCATTTTGCATCATAGCTGCGTCCAGGAAATAATTCGGCAAATTTGAAATCTGCGTTCAAGAGCATCTGATATGAAAAAAAAACAGTAGACAAGCAATTACATCTAATTTCACTCCTACTATCTAGTCCAATCGATTGAGTAAGAAAACTACGCTCCCTTGTCCACTCAGAGCCTATAATTTTCATATGGACCTTCCCTCCTTCTACAATTTTTTTTCCAAAATTAAAACCACAAAAGGTCGCCTCGTCAAAAAATCGACATTGAACTTTATCATGAATATCACAAAAAGAAAATGAAAATATCTGTCAGCGGCCTCTCAGCGAACAACATAAATAAAGCCTGAAATTTCTAATGCAACATTGGTCGGAGATTGCATGGAAAGCCTAAGTGGGAGTTCCCTTTGCGTTCAATATCGAGCATTTTCCCATGAGTAAACTCCCTTTGACTCTTAATTTTGCTAACTCAACCCAATTTAGCTTCTAGCAGAACGACCCAAACGGTCTCACTCTAGGTACTACTTCGAAACTATATTAAGTAAATACATAACCAATTTCTCAATAGACTACACATAAGAGACACTCAACAAAAACCAAAACAACACAGACGATTTCGCAAAAATCAATGCAATGCAGAGAAAAAGATAAATGTGCGAGGAGCCACCTGAGAAGAGGAAGACCCACCAAATATATACATGTAAATGCAAAGAAAAAATCGAAAAATCACCTCAACATTAAGACTATTGTGATGAAAGGCAACAAAGTGTGAGTGGAAGTAGTAGACAATACAGAAGGAGCAATCATGATATGATGACCGCTGGGATCTGCGGACGGGGCGTCTGAAGTCGTTCAATAGGTGACTGTGTGGCCACCTCATCCACTTTGGAACGATGAAGGTGTACCCATGGTGTGACTGAAACAAATCATTGAAGTATTAGGTTGTCCTAAAAGTCTTTGCCCATTTGTGAATTTTTTTCAAATTCACTTTTCTACCCTTAGCCCAGTCAGCACCTTATAATCATACGAGCTTTGCTCCGCGCCGGTATCGCGCGCATCACATGACCTAAGGTTCCGCGGGCTCTCCAGGTTTATCACACATAGCCCTGTAAACACTGAGCATTTCTCCTGAATTCTGATAATTTAGCGGTGAATAGGGTTATGCTGTTAGCCTCAAAATTAGAATGAAACATGCTCACTTATAATAATTGGGCTTCTACACTTATCTTTCTTCTACAGTGTTCGAAATGCCTAAGGTTTCGGTCATTGAAGAATTTTGGTCTCCTGGATTAGATCAACGAACAAAGCCACCATCTCGCTTCAAGATTAAGCTCACTAGTTAGTTTTAACGTGGACTGCGCAACCGCATTGACGTCTTTGCCTTCAAAGTTTCCTTATCAGCTTCTATCAATTGCTATTGTCTTTGTCACCCATCACAATGTCCAGGTACCACCCCACATAACAAAAGTGAAAGAGAAAAGAAACAAAGAAAAGTAGCTGGCGAATGCACATGCGCGTGAAGCATCAAACGCATAGATCTCGCTCAAATTCGTCGCACGGTTTCCGACACGCGGCATGCCGCACGTATGTACGACGTCGCGGTGATCCTCCATAGACCCGACTCAACTCACACAGCCATAGCCACCCTCCTGAAATGAATTCGACCTTACTGGATGGTTGTTTATCTACTGGTGGGAAAATGTTATCACAATCACGATATCTCTCGCCTCTAGTCGACCATTTTGCGGACGGACAGACAGACGTGCATACACACAAACAAACCGACACACCAAACTTCTGGTTTATATAATGAAGTGATTCCTCGGAATTTTCCGATCAATCAATTCCTTTA